CGGTTTGTCCGCCAGCACCGCGTCGTCTCCCTCCGTGCCGGGGCTCATCCCCTGTGGAGAGGCGCAGACCGGTTCCCACAGAAACAAAAGGGTGATTTTTGGGGAGTAGTTGGCGGAGAGCCGCGAGTACAGGCCAGAGCTGGTTCAAGAGAGGCTGAAGGGCCGGGAGCGCGGGGGCTGAGCGGGGCCGTGCTGGCCCCCGGGAGGAGAGGGGAGGCCCAGGGCCGGAGGGGCCGTGTGTACGGACAGAAACACGCGGTTGGTAAGCCAGGGGAGGCTCTGCTGCTTGTCATCCCAGCGCCAAGAGGGCACCGTGAAGTACTATGTTTCCACTTAGGGTTTTTATTGAGCTTGAGTCTCCGGGGGGGTCAGTGCCTGTTCCAGGGGGTGTCTCTGATGGATGGGTTTCACGTGCAGTGATCGCCGGGTAAAATGCATATGGCTGTTGGAGCGGGATCCAATGCAGATACACTGTGTTTCTTCTGTGCTCTAAGGGTGGGCTTTAACAGCCAGTCTTCCAGAGTGTTGTTCATAACTGTTCTCTTTCTAATCCAGTGATTTGGCCTTGAGCAGCTTCAGCATGCACATGGATCGACTCTTCTCCCCGGCATACACCCAGAGTCCCCAGTGGTCCAGGAATCGCCAGTCAGTTGGACGCTGCCCTTACCTGACTGCAGAACAGCAGAGAGGAGGGTTGTACATGCATAATCACAAATACTATCAGCGAATCCCAGTTACAACAGCCCTCCAATGCAGTTGTGTGGTGCATCTTAGGTGAACTCACAACTTACTGCCACAGAAGAGAAAAGGAGAGGTCCCACTCTCCTTAGTCCTGCTGCTCCCATTCCCTGCTCCCTTGCACAAGCCCTGATATCAATCAGTGAGCCAATTTCACTTGTTAATTCAGCAGAAAACTGCACTAGGAAGAGAGGGAATAGTTTTCAGCAGTTCATTTTGAATGAGTATACTTTGTGATCAGAACTGGCACTAAGGAGGGGGTGGAGAGAGGAGGAGAGAACAGGTCTGTTATTTGTTAGCAGAGGGCAGTTGTATTTGATGCAGCTGTATTCTCTATATCCTTAAACTTCAGAGCAAGAGAAACTGATTTGAGGGTGACAGCCTAATGTTTATTGTTGGAAGTAATTTAAAATGAGCGAGTCATTCATTTGTTTTTGTTAAGAAACAGATTTGTTTTCAGGAATAACAGCCAAACTACACATAAAAGTACACAATAAACTAACCAAAACCAAACCACATAAAAGAGCCATTAAGCTTGTCTCATATAAAAGCATGTTCAACAGAATTTCCATTTGATGAAACCAATGCACCCTTCTAACTTGGGTGGTCAACAAGGTATACAGATCTTCAGCACAGATTTCAGCCTCTTGAATTACTCATAGCAATCCTTGGTTTTACAGTTCATCGTCCCAAACGATTTTGCATATTTTTATTTTGCTTTGGTTTTAATTGAATTTGAACAGAGACAAATAAACAGCTCTCTCAACTCTGTTCTTATATAAGTGCCGTAAGAAGTAAACCACAGAATTATACTGTCTCTTTTTTCTTTTAGCCCTGAATAGTTTGCATTCTTGCCTCTATAATGGCCCAGGTTCAGCAAGGAGAGGTGAGGATGGGCAGTATTTCTGGAAGCCTAGCTGGTGTGGTATGCTGATGGCTAGAATGGTTACTTTGTAGATCCACTTTGAAGTACTGAGAAGGCCGTGTAGCCCAGATCTCAACCTTTTTAGTTGCATGTTCCGACTTTTCACAGAACAGGTGAAGTTCACATCTTCGAGCTCCTGAGTTAAAGTACTGATCAGTGTTTTGAAAATAAATTAAGAAAGAAAAAAAGACACAAGCACCAATCTTACAGAGGCAATTCCAAGTTCTGCAGTTTCCTGACCTGTTTTCTTTATTTCCTTCTGTCACGATTTAACCCCAGCTGGCAACTAGAACCATGCAGCCACTCACTCACCCACCTTTTTTTCCCCCAGAAGGGTGAGGGAAGAGGGGAAAAAAAAAAACCACAAGGGGAAAGGGAGGAAAAAAACCTCATGGGTTGAGATAAAGACAGTTTAATAGAAACAGTAACAATAATAATACCAATAATGACACAGGTCACTCTCACCACCAGGTGAATTGGCACCATCCAGAGCAGTGATCATAGATTCCCACCCCTCAATCAATCCCTATTTATATACTGAGCATGACATCTATGGTATGGAATATGGCATTGGCCATTCCATCCTTCTGTCTATACTTCTATGGGAAACTGAAAAAAGACCTTGAATATTATAAATGTCACTTAGCAACAACTAAAAACAATAGGTATTATTGACATTTCTTTCACAGCAATCATTAGAAAGAATCTTAACCCTTTCCCACCTGTACCCAGGACACCTTCCCTTCCCTGCTGCCATCTTTTAAAAGTCAGTGCTTTCAAGAGGGCCAGATTTCCCACTTTGCTAAAATTATCTCCATCTTCATTTTGAGGTGTAGTTGGTGGAGACCACTGCCCTATAAGAGGCAATAACTCAGAAGCAGCTTTTGATTGAGGGGAGACACAGCACTCCTGAGACTTTTACCAATTCCAACTCTGTCTTGGAAGAGGGCAGGCTGTTTCCTGAAGTACCTACCGTCTTTATAGAAGGGGTTGCCTCTTGCTGACTTAAACTGTGTTCCTGTAGACAGAATTTCTGAAGCTAAAATGGTGCTTTGTCAGTTCCTTCTGTGGGGTCAAGGCAGCAAATAACATGTGAGTGTAATAGTGAGCGTGGGATGGAAGATTTGGGCACAACGTACAGGGGGATCCTCTTTTTAAGAACACGAAGAAGAAGGACATCTCTGAGAAATCTATAAGCAATGGTTTGTTAACACACTGGTTCACTCATGTATCCCATGATGATTCTTCAAAGCTCACAGCGAGTCACTGAAATAGCTCTGCAGAAAGGGGGACATTGTATGTTTCCTTCGTAACTGTGTATAATTTTACACACTGAAAAACTTCTTTACAGTTCGGGTGACAGAGCACTGGCACAGGCTGCCCAGGGAGGTTGTGGAGTCTCCTTCTCTGAAGATCTTCAAAACCCGCCTGGATGCAGTCCTGAGTAATGTGCTCTGGGCAATCCTGCTTTAGCAGGGGAGTTGGACTAGATGATCTCTAGAGGTCCCTTCCAACTGTGAAATTCTGTGATTCCCACTGTGATAATATGAAGAAGTAACACCCAATGACCTGTTGTGGCACAAGGACAAGAAAATTTATTATCTTCTAACATCAGCTCTTACTTTTCTCTGTTGCTAGCATCTCCATTGAGAAATCTAAATAAAGCATGTTTCTAATCTTGCCTCCTTAAAGCGAGAATTTCCTTTGCAAGGATTGATTTTTTTAAAAAGACTGGTAGATTTTAATTCAGTCATCCTTTACTGAATGAAACTACTTACTGAAGGCACGACTTTTGGCAAGTTTGAAAGTTAAATATAATTTTGATTGTTAGAAAAATTTGCTTTGTTT